CCCGGACCACCACCGCCGGGACCGCCGCCAGGACCGCGCGGAGGCGGCTGCTGGGGCGGCTGCTGCGCGCTGCTCAGCGTGCCTCCACCCGAGCGCTGACGCGCGTGCGTCGCCGGCTGCTGGCCGCCCACCGCCGACGAGTGGCCGTACGGCTGCATGGGCGGGAAGCCAGGCGACGACGGCGACGGCGCGCCGCGCATCAGGCTCGCATACTCGCCCGGGCTCGGCGTGCGCTCCATCTCGTAGCTGCCCGGCTGGTAGCCACCCCTGCTGAATCCGCCGCCGCCACTGGCCGGTGCAGGCCCAAAGCGCGACGGGATGTCCGGCACCGCGGGAGCGTTGCGGTTCGGCGGGAACATGCCCATCTGCGACAACCGGTGGCGGTTCACCGCCGAAGGATACTGCGGCTGCGCTCCCGGCTTGCCCACCGTCTTGGCGCGGAACGCCTTGTCGTCCCAGCCGGTCTCGAGCATCTTTTCCATGTCCTCCGTGTCGATCACCACCTCCTGGTCGCCCACCCACACCGAGTGGCGAACAATCTGCACGGGCGGCGGCAGCGACTCGTCGTACCCGCCAATCTGGTTACCCCACTTGTCGTCGTCAAAGTCGCTCACCGTCACCGAGTCGCTGAACGAGTCGCTCTCTGGTCGCGACAGCGGCATGCCGGGTTCCTTGCGCTCCATCTCGCCGTCGGAGCCGGCATCGTTGTGGAAGCCTGCGCCAAACTGGCGCTCGAGATCGCGCCGCTGCTTCTCCTCGCGCTTCTTCTTGCGCAGCCGCGAGCGTTCCCAGTCCTCCCACCTTCGCAGCGGCACCATGTTGCCCGTCGCCTGGCCGCCCTCGTCGCCGTGGCCCTTCTGCTTGCCCTCGCCCTCGACCTTGCGCGTCTCTCCCCACGAAAAGTCGTCAAAGTGCCAGAACGAGTAGACGGGCAGCACGAAGTTCCACACCGGCAGCGCCACCAGGTAGATCAGCATCCACAGCACGTACACCACCTTGCGCGTCGCCAGCAGGATCAGCAGCGCCGGCATGCCGATCACCGCTACGAGCAGCATCAGCGGGATCGCTTCCGTGAACGAGTGCGGCGGGTTGAGGCAGTACGTCACCACGAGCGTGTACGTCAGCGCGATCGACACCGGCAGCACCGCCGTGCCGAGCAGATCCATAAACACCACAAACTGCATCGAGAAGCAGAACGTGCCGCACAGATCGCGCACCAGCACCAGCTCCATGAGGTTGTGGATCGTCGAGTTGATCCAGCGGCGGCGCTGCGAGAGCAGCATGCTGAACGTATGCGGCACCTCGGTCTTGCAGCGGGCCTCGGGGCAAAAGACCATCTTGCGGTTCGGAAAGGTGCGCAGCAGCGTCGTAGTCAGGAATCGATCCTCTCCCAGCAGCAGCAGGTTCTTCTGGTGCAGCGTGGTGACGACGCTCTGGCTGTACTCGCGCGTCACCTCGGGCTTGACAATGATGGGCACCCAGTCATCGTCGGTGAGCTTGCGCGCCTTGATGCGATACATGGAGAAGCAGCCGGGCAGACACGTCACACCGCCAAAGACCGACTCGAACGCCTTGGCCTGGTGGTGCGAGATAAAGTACTCGTACACCTGGATCATGGTGACCCAGCTCTGCGTCTTGTTGGCGATGCGCGTCTCGCCACACGCGCCCATGATGAGCGGATCGCTCATCATGCAGTTGGCCAGCGTCTTCATCGCCTTGGGATAGACCATGGTGTCGGCGTCGACCATGAGGCAGAGCTCGAAAAAGTCGGGCGTGACGCCCATGAGCGTGTGCACCTTGCGGAAGAGGTCATAGTCGAGCGGCGTCATGCGATCGTTGTACGTGACACGCTGGAAGAAGTTCATGAGGATCATCTGCGAGTCACGCTTGCCGCGGTTACCGGGCTTAGAGTCGCTCGCCTCTTCGGGTGCACCGCACTTGACAACGACGACCATGGGCGTGCGATGGCCCTTTGCGCGCGTGTAGTGACCGGCGTAGACCATGGCCATGTTGTGCTCCTTCTTGCCCTGACCGATGGAGATGAAGCTCATGGGTGTCGGCGTGCCAAAGCGCGGGTCTGCCTCGAGGAGCGAGACGCAGACGTCTGGAGTGCTCATGGCTTCGCCCGAACCGGTGACCATACCGTCGGCGACGACAAAGAGGAGCTTGCGCTGGTCCGAGTACTCGGTCTCGGCGAGCGAGGTGAGGGTGGTCGAGATGCCGTCCTCGTTCTCCGAGTAGGCGGTGACGAGGCAGACGACAAAAGGCTCGCCACCGATGTGCTGAACCGAGAGGCTGTCGGGGATCGAGGGTGCGGCGGAGGCGTTGGAGCCGCGTCGACGACGCACGGGCTGCGAGGGTGGCGGACGCTGTTTGTTGGCCCAAGGCGCTGCTCCGGACGAGTTGACGGAGGTCATGGCGCCGTCAGGAAGGACATTCGGAGCGATCTTGCGTCTGCGCGACGAACGAGGCGGGGAAGCCATGCGGCCCGCCATGAACCACGAGAACCATACGGCCATGAAGAAGCGAATGAGGACGATGGCCAAGATGACGACGAGCGAGCAGTAGAGGACGAGGTTGGAGATGAAGCAGCCCGGCGTGATCTTATCGATGTTTCCAGCCTCGTACTTTTGGACGAGACACCTGATGGCTTTGCGAGCGGTGGGGTTGGTGTAGAACATCATGGTGGAGTCGCGGCCGCCCTTGAGGCCCGACGTGAGCTGCTGACGGATGGCAAGGTCGACGACGTCGCCTTGGATGGGAGCCGGGTTGGCTCGGAGGTAGGGCGTCATGTTGAGCACGCTGCCGTCGAGCACCATAAAGTTGGAGAAGTTGCCGCTCTCGATGTCCTCCCAGCCGTAGCCGATCCTGCGCGACTCGTTGCGCATGCCGTAGGTTGCAAAGGTGGCGTCGGTCATGGGGCCTAGCGGGCAGTTGGGGAGAGCGGTGCCGTTGAGCGCCATGCAGATGGGGTCGGCGGCGTAGGCGGCGGTGGATCCGCGACAGGCGGGGAAGTTGACGCTGGAAGTGCGAGCAAAGAGAGACGAGATGTCGGAGCCGGAGCGGGTGGTAGAGAGGGTGAAGAGCGACTTGACTTCTGCTTCGGGCAGATGATGCGCCGAGGTGATGTCGATGGCCCAGCCCTGCACGCCGAGGACGGCGCCGCCGGTTCCGATCTTGACGAGCGACTTTGCGGTGTTGCTTGCGGCCTGGGGGCAGAGGGAAGCGTTGAGGCCCATGGTGATGAAACCGATGAAGGCGCCGAGTAGGATGGCGAGGAAGACGAGCGAGACCTTTTCGCGCCACGCCTGACGGCTCATCTTATCCCTGAGGCCGCAGCAGGTGCTGAGGACGGGGCTGGGCGCCCAAAAGGTGGCGACGAGGGAAAAGGCGGTCCACCATGAGAAGGTGCTCTTTGCCTTTGCGGCCGAGGAGAAGCCTGGCCCGCTGCTGGAGGGGTTGATCAAGGGGACCTGGGGCTGGCTGCGCTCGGGTCGCGTGAGAGTCTTTGCGCGAGCGATGCGGGTGGGCTGTCGAAGCGGAGGCGGCGCCTCGGTATGGAGCGGTATTGACTGGTCATTGCGCTGACCTGGTTTGCGGATGAAGGTCTTTGTGAAGGTGGTGTTGCGCTGAATGGCCGGCATGGTGGCTGCGGCTGTTGAACGCCAGGCTGACGTTGGCGTATACTGCCGGAGCGAGGAGCTGGCGCAAACGCGGTGTGGGATCGAAGCAGCGCCTCAAGATGAAGTGAGACGGGCGAGGGGAGAGTCCGGGCAGCAAAGGAGTGTGGTTGCGCGCGTGTCGTTGTCCGAAGAGACGACGTTGGGCGGAAGACTAAGCGAGCGTAAAGCAAAAGCCAAGGGATTGCGGACGATGCAAGCAAAGGAACACGGAGGAAGAGGCAAGTTTGCGGATGGTGGAGTCGATCCAGTCGTCCCAGGTATACGAGGTGGGGAGGGGAAGCCGTGGGCAAGGATGTAGGATAAGGTTCAAACGAAGGAAGAAAGGCAGGGACCCCTGTGCGAGAAGTGCGATCGCCGGCGATGCTGTCGCTGATGTAGGATGGCGGTGGAAGCGGCGTTGGATCGTCCCAGACAACGACGCGGGAGGGGATGGATGATGAGAAAGGGAGAAAGAGAGGGAGGAGGCGAAAGCAAAGACGATGGAGGCGAAGGAAAGCGACGACGAGGAGGAGGAGCACGCTGAGCTTCTCGGTGGTGCCGATGTGCATTGGCGTGTGCTGGGAATTGCTGTCGATAGGAGGGCGTGCCAGTGCGTGACAGCCCAAAACGCACGGCGGGTCGGATGAGCCGCGAGCTCGGTGACCGAGGCCTGGCGAGCGCACTGCAGTCTGTCACTCTCATCCGAGGTTCAGAGGTTCAGCGCAGACAGTGCAGGCCACGCGTGCAGCCAAACGGATGATGCGAAAAAAAGACGGGCTTGCAGTTCAGAGCAGTTCAGAGAGCGCTGCCAGCGAGAGCCACCGGCATTCTTGAGAAATCACATCGGCGCCAGGAGGCTTTCCGAAGGCTGAAGCTCTGTGCGTGGGGGGGCAAGGGAGGGGGGAAATCGCCAAATCCGAAGTGCAGCTTCTGTAGCCGAGGCGAGGCGAGAACTGCACGCTGCACTCTGCACTTTGCGTAGCAGCTCGGAGCTGAGGATTCTCGGAGGCCTGTTGCGCTGTGCAGTGTTGCGAGCTGCGTCCTTGCGACGCGAAATTCCAAAAATTGTCCACAGAGTCCGACGCGAAGTCGCTGCCAATCAGGCGTTCCCCGCCCGAGACCAACACGCAGCACCGCCGGCTCATCCCTGTCATTGTCCTGTCCCCGACCAGGTCGCTGGACGCCCTTCGCAGTGTCTTTGAATAAGCTCAGAAGGATCTGTGATGTACAGTCAGCTTCAAGCGTCCTATCGTCGCCGCGGCAGGTCATGGCGTGTTAGTTTCGGGAAGGAGCCGAGGTGGGCACGCCGTGCGTGAAGGAGGGATGGAGGCTCACGGAGGTCGCCAGCGTGCGGTTGGGGGTTGCAAGGCTGCAGGGGCGAAACGTGCAGCGTGCAACTTGCGCACGCTCTTCCTGCTCGCACTCTCATCGCCCAGCAAGACGCCTTGGCACGTCGATGCGCCATTTCAGAGTGTCAGATCTGTGTTTCTGCACACTCTTGCTCGGACGATGGACAATCGCCGATGTGAACCCCGATGAGGTCAATCGAGTGGCAAATCTGGAGGCGAAGGTCTCTCGTTCGAGAAAAGCGGGTGGCGAACTGAAGCGAGTGCGGGCCTGGCATGACGTCGAGCGGATGTCCCCAAAGATCGGGGCCTGCGTACCGCACTCCGAAATCTGAATCACGCTCTTCGATCGCCACAGCCAAGCCAGAGCAGAGCAACCGGGCGATTTTCTTTTTCCCGTCATTTTTGACAGGCAGCACACGCTTCAGCGCGCTTCAGCGCTTGAGTCCGTCGCCTCGCTACTGTGCGTCGTGTGGAACTGGACCCTGAATTTTTGGCATTCCCGCCCGATCGCGAAGCGTGTCTGCCGTCGCTCCTCGCTTGCCTGGAGCGAGTTCTGCCACTTTGCAACAAGCAGCGGTGTCTCTCGATCCCGGACTCCCAATCTCAGCCATTGGTCAAGGCGAAGCGAAGCAGAGGATGACGCTTTCCCCTCGTCGGTGGGTCCGAAGGGTCAGGTCAGCCGCACCCACGCCTCGAAGCCAGCACCACCCGATCGCAATCACCTTGAGGAGGTCGCGCATAGTTTGTACCGGCGCAACGCTGCGTGAACAGTCGCCTCGCTCAGGGTCCGATGGGACCAGGGTCTTTGCTCTGCGCCTTTTGCAGTCCAAGTGCGCGTGAGGCGTGTGCAAGAAAAATACCGGCTCTCCTCAATTTCCACAGGTTCAGGTTAGGGTCCTCGCTCCTTTGCGCGGCTCGGTGGCTGTCAATGATCCAAGCGAGGCTGCCCCCCAACCTCGCAAGCCCACCCTTGGCCAGCTGTCCCATCTCGGCCGCCATCGAGTGTGATTCTGCTAGTGTTGTTTGGCAGCGCCGATTCGGAACCTCACCGATCGATCAAGGGCGCAGCGAGCGGAGAAGCCGAGGGAAAGTGGTTGCGATTCGAGTGATGTTGAGCGAGGGAGAAAGTCGAAAGCGCCGGTGCTTGACAGCTAAAATGCGTTGCTGCAGTGGGAGAGAGAGAGAGAGAGAGAG